CCCCCCCCCCCCCCCCCCCCAAAAGTGTTATTTCCCTCGGGGATGGCTCATTGGTGTACTAATAACAACCAATTATGTGTCCAAAATGACTCGTATATATTGAATGAAATTTACTGCTACTAGAAGAGCGATGTCTTGAGGAGTCCACTATGCCAAATGCGAGAGAAACCCCATCCCTCTCTTTCAAGAGGATTCACGGCATGTGTAAGCGTTTTTTTGCTAAAAAAATAAAAGAAATATTGAAAAAATTGACTTGTAAAAGGATCTTTTACCATTAAGCTTACTGAGGAACATGATAAACTTCTCTGTATTAAAAAAAAAAAAAAACCATTGGTATGAAAGGAAAGATATCCTATTACACCCAAATCAAGGATATATAGTGCAAAAAATAAATTAGAAGAACAAGAACAGAAATGGAGAAGACACAAACCTTCTTATCAATGAAGTCAACCCAAAACCTTGCCTTTGATCTCTGGTAAGGATCAGAGGGCAACAAAGAAGGTTCACCCTTCCAAACCTCGTCGATGTATTCGATTATTAACCCGGATTCGCAAACGGGTTTTCCATTATGGATCAAAACTGGAATTGTCTGATATAAAGGATTCATCTTCACGAGCAAAGGACTTTTGTTGGCCAAGTCCTCATACTTGTGATCATACTCAATTCCCTTCTCTTCCAAAGCGATTCTTGCCCTTGTCCCAAATGGGCTAGGCCAGTAATCTAAGAGAACTACTTCCTCGTTTGCCATTTGATTGACTCTGTAGCAGGTGTGTAGAAAGAAATGAAATGAAATGAAATGAAATATATAGACTAGTACATCCGAATTATGCCCTTCCCATCCCATCTTACGCCGCCCTATCCTATTCGTAGCAAAAAATCTAACAGTTGAATATTTATAAAAGTGTAATTAACGAACGATTAATAAATAATTAATAATAAAATAATAAATAATAGCAATAAATATATTTATAGTAGTTCGGTCCGGATAACCTACTTTACTCTTAAGAATGATAACGGTGGTTGAAGATCTTTATTAATAAATAAAAATTACCAAGGAAGTTATTCCGGGTGTGTTATAAAGCTTGGAAGAGAGAGAGGGACAATGTATATAGAGAGATATGTGAGGTTCCTGATATTTTCTTTCTCTTGCTATTATTCTGTTGGAGGATGATCCTAAGCTAGACTAAATTTGAGTTGAAGTGACAAAGTCAAAAGGATGAAGAAGGATTCCATGAAATTGCACAAGAGATGAAGTATGAGAAAAAGGAAGGGAGAAGAACCCCTTGAGTGACCTCCCTTGGGCAGCGCCCTATGAGTGTCTCTTCGAGGATGTCACCCTTTGGACTCCTTCTTAACCTTAACTTTTCTTTAATTTGGGCTCTTTTTTGATTTATTGATTTGAACTCTAATGTGATGTGAGTCTTTTTTAATTAATTGGGTCTCGCCCAATTACTTTTTATGGCTAGAAACATCTTAGTTAGTTGACCATTAAAATTATATACATTATCCTTTATAATTATGTATCAAATTAAAATAATTAATTTTATCATCCAAGTTAACGGAAAGTGTGTTCCATACGCCAAAAACATGTTATGGACTTTGTTTTTTTTATTATTTTTTTCTAAAAAAACATTGTCTAAGTGTTTAAAATACTCTTTATAATATTATAGAATAGATACAACATCGGTCCCTGGTTGAAAAATATAAGTAATTTTTGGCCCCAAATTAAAACCTTACTTGAGAGAAAAAAAAATTTGACATGTTTGATTGAAATGTATTAGTTTATTGTCACGTTCCATTAGTTTTATGGTTAAGAGTAAAGCAAATAAAAAGTCTGATTTTAAAACGTGAGTATTATGATAATTTTTTAATTCTGTTAATAACGTTAATTATTTAATATATAACTATAAGAGATTAATGTGTATAATTTTAAATAAAGAGTTTTTAGTCCTAACGGCAAAAAAAACACAATTAACCCAAGTTTTTTTTAAGTTGCGTGCTAACCTCCCACTTTTTCAATCATTAGGCAGTCAAAATAATCCTGCGCAGCCCTCTATGTCAAATATAAGAGCAATACTCTAAAGAAATTAATGTTATGAGTTCGATGGATTCATTGAATATATTTTATACCCACTTGAAGATATATTTTATATCAACTCGAGCAAAGGTGATAATATCCGAATTTAAAAAAGGAGTCAATTCAAGCTGAAATATCCTATAACCAAGTAAATAATAGTAATAATAATAACTTTCAACAACATTAATTTCGTACTCGCACACCAAATTAATAAATGTCATATATGTTTTTTTTTTTTCCATATTCTTGGGCTGGAAATGCCACTAAAGGAGCAAGAGAGAGAGGAACAAATTGCAGGGAGACTCACCTAGTTTTGCTTATATGTGCATGATAGTTTTCACCATCATTTGTATGCCTATATCTGAAAATTTACTTCAACTGTGTGTTTGAAAATTTCAATGTGAATGATAATGGAGGAAGACCGTGAAACACATACATTGCATGTGGTAGAGAGCCACCCAGTTGCCCCCTAATCGGATGTGGCTTAAAATGCTCATCCTCAAATTTGTGCTTCTCTCTCCGTGACCCCCACCCAGTTTGTCTTCTTCCCACCTCCTATTTTTACCATACTCTTTCGTCACCATTCTGTGTTTGGTTCGTATTCCAACTTTTCTCTGTAAGTTTATCCACTAGTCCTCACGCACTGGTTTCTCTCTCTCTCTCTCACTCCTCTCATCTGATTTCTTCTATTTCATGGTAGAATCAATGTTCAGTTTCTCGTATCTCATGTGGGTCGGAGCTTAATTTGATGCTTATAGTTTTGATGCTTATGGGTTTAACGGAGATTCTTGAAAAACTTTCAATATTATCTTCTATGGATGAATTTTCACTTCCAATCTCAATAATTCTATGCTTAGTACATATTTACATATGTTAAATGTAAATATGTGTATACTTGTTAACTTGTTCAAGTCATCCATATTGGATATGTAACTCAGTGTTGTTCCTTTATTGGTACTGTACTGGATTTTCTTCAAGGTTTGGTTGTATCACTCTGTTGAATGTGTTGTTCAGGAGTAAAACTTTATTGCAATATATGTGTCACAAGTGTCTATTTTAAGTCCAGAGCGTTACAGGTCTTGTTCTCAGGCTGCCCAATTTCTCAATTTCTTGTATGATCTTAATATGTTGTGTTGTTTCTATGTAGTTTTTACGAAATCAATTTTACTTTTCCAAATTAATGGACTTTCTATTGCATATCCGTTGCAACTAGTATTTGGGTGTTTTAGCTTAGCCTGTACAATATGAAAGTCTCATAAACGATTCCCAAAGGCGGAGTCCCACTCCCACCTATCTCAATAAAGTATATGATTGCTCCCAAGAACGTCTCGAGATTCAGGCGATTGTGTTATCTTTTTATGTATTGCACAGTATATCTAGATCTTGGGCTGTTTTGCTTGTTATTCTAAAGCATAGGTTAATAATTTGCCTGCTAAATGACCCAATTAATCTCTATTATCGCCACGAAGATCTCATACATAAGTAGATTAAATTGTCTTAATGTGCTCAGTCTTTGAGCTTGGAAATCTTAATATATCTTTTTATCTTGTCTGCTTACAATTCTCTATGTGCACTATTTGAGCTTGAAAATTCCTATATGTCTTGCCATCTTGGTAAAGCAAAACAAGTAATCGTGGTTCTCTATTTCTAATGTCATGTCAAGATTTTCCAAGGGGGGCATAGAGATTAAATAAGGAAGATGGAGATAACCAATGTCAGTGAGTATGAGGCCATTGCCAAGCAAAAGTTGCCAAAGATGATATTTGACTACTATGCATCAGGTGCAGAGGACCAGTGGAGTCTGGCAGAGAACAGAAATGCATTCTCAAGAATTCTGTAAGCTTCCTATATAGGCTCACAAAGCTATAATCCCTAGATTAAGAATTTGGTTATCCTTCTGTGAATTTTTTTCGCTTTCTGCTACAAGCTGACCTCTTTGGTAATGAAATAAAGGTTTCGACCCCGTATTCTTATTGATGTGAGCAAAATAGACATGGCCACCACTGTCTTGGGTTTCAAGATTTCAATGCCCATCATGATTGCACCAACAGCCATGCAGAAAATGGCTCACCCTGAAGGTAAGTAACAATTTTACCTTGAGCTTATACTTTTTTACACAGGAAGTTAAATTCTAACTGTTTTTATTTTTGGTCAGAAAATTCTCACCATGTTTGATGGTTAAATTTCACCAATTGGCTTGTTTGGTTTACCTTTTTTTCATTAGTTTTCAACTACGAGTATGCTTTTATGTCAACTTGCACATATCTATACTACCTAAAACTTAAATGTATCGAGTTCACAGTGTAACCACATTATAACTAGAACTTGGAACTTTGATGGGATTCAAATATTTGAGAGACTGTCGTATTTGGAATGGTGGTAAGACTTTTGGGTGCCTCAGGCAACTAAAATTGAGTTGTACTTGTATATCGAAATATCCAGTTAGAGAAGGCTTTCATTGCTGAAGATTTTTGACATAGTCTCTTAGGACAAACTGCAATAGAATCATCCAGAACCATTTTTATTCCCCCTCTCTACTAGGGTTAAAGGGTTGTAGGGTCTAATAAAAGTACTTCGCTGGAAAATTTTACTTGACAAATGATATAGTCAACTTAATACTTTGGGGATTCTAATCCATGCCTACTGATTCTGAATGTGGAAACTGATTAAGATAATAACTTTTCACTTTCAGCCTGATGACTTGACCTGTTTCTTGTGCAGGAGAGTATGCAACAGCCAGAGCTGCATCAGCAGCTGGAACGATTATGGTTTGGCTTTTATCCATTTTCACTTGGACATTATTTAACACCACAGCTTTACATTCCATGAACTTTCACAAATGGCCTTTTTTATTCTCGTTTTTGAGAACTCTAATTTGAGGTTACACTAGAATCTGAACATTGCCTAGTCATTTACATATCTATGCATATATAGAAATTTTGTTACAAATCACAAATCCACTGCTAACTTCACTATGGATAGCATGACCCCAAAGGTGTCACTTTGTTATTCTGAAATTGCTGACCCACAGAGAAATTCCACCTGGATTTAATTCTTTTGGGTCATGACCTCTGATTTTTATTCAAAATCCGGGGGCTTAATATGTGAGAATTAATTCATGATTTCAATATGCTTAGTTGATTAGTGCATCATCCATTGGTTGTTTCAGACATTGTCATCCTGGGCCACTTCTAGCGTTGAAGAGGTCGCTTCAACTGGACCTGGCATCCGCTTTTTTCAACTTTATGTAAGCAGTTGGAATTGCGTCTTCTTTCTGTTGTTACATTAGAAATTGCATCTTCTTTTTTCTGTACATTGTTATTGATCTGGCTTTTGAGGTGTAAGCAATAAATCTATTGCTTTTAATGTTCAGGTGTACAAAGACAGGAATGTTGTTGCTCAGCTTGTGAGAAGAGCTGAAAGGGCTGGCTTCAAGGCTATAGCTCTTACAGTTGACACCCCCAGGCTGGGACGGAGAGAAGCTGACATCAAGAACAGGTCCACACTTCAATCCAAATGCTTTATCGAAACAAATGGATTATAATATTAGGTTATGCCGTACACGTCAAGAACTCTTCTGACTGATGATTTTCACAGATTCACTTTACCACCATTTTTGACATTGAAGAACTTTGAGGGCTTGGATCTTGGAAAGATGGAAGGGGTGAGTGCCAGAAATAACTCTCATCCACTATTTTCAATTGATGTGGTTTTGAAAATGTTATTTGATTTGTTCTGTGATTTGCAGGCTGATGACTCTGGATTAGCTTCATATGTTGCTGGTCAAATTGATCGTTCTCTGAGCTGGAAGGTACGGTAGCTGGGGCTGATGGTAAATTGAATATTTTTTGAACTTTAATAGTCATGGACATACTTTCAAAGTCTATAGGTTTGTTGCAACTAAACACTCATATTCTTCAGCTTTTTGAGATCATTTTTTCTTCTGACTTCCGAAAATCTTGTATACACAATTGAACTTAATTCATAAATGTTGTAAATTGGTGGGAACTTCATTTGAGAAGTCGAGAATGGATTTGACCAGAGAGTTTGAGACTGATTGTTTAATGAAGTATTGAACACTGGATAGTTGACCCTTTTTAACAACAGCCTTGAGAAAGACTACCTGATCTCAATAATTTTACCCCCGGAAATGGACAGGATATCAAGTGGCTTCAAACAATCACTACATTGCCAATCCTAGTGAAGGGCGTACTCACTGCTGAGGACAGTAAGAACTGCAGAACTTATGATCAATGTCTCAATTTTTTCTGTTTGGTGTACTCATGCTGAACTGAGTTTTTCCATGCTGAACTTGCAGCAAGTCTAGCCATTCAAAATGGAGCAGCTGGCATTATTGTATCCAATCATGGTGCCCGCCAACTTGATTACGTCCCTGCCACGATCATGGCTCTGGAAGAGGTTATACAACTTGTTTATACCTAGTTATTGGCTTTATCAGTAATTACAAGATATATGACATATCTACTGAACTTGCATAGAAATGAAACCTAGATGGCTAGATTCTATCGAATTCTGATACATTGTACTCTTTGAGATGAGCAGGTTGTGAAAGCTGCACAAGGCCGCGTGCCTGTGTTCTTGGATGGGGGTGTCCGCCGTGGAACAGATGTCTTCAAAGCATTGGCACTGGGAGCCTCTGGCATATTTGTACGTATGATAAAGCAAAATCAACAGTACCATGGACCCGATTTTCCACTGTGCATGTGTATACTAATTTGTTTGGAAAAACTTAATGGTCATGTATGGAGCCCCTCAAAATAGATTTTGCGTATTCTTTAGAATGGTGAAAGTCTCTGAACTGCCATTTTAGCTGCCACCCTTTCTGGGTAAGATTGTTTTGAGTCCAACTGGTGACAGAAAATTCTGAGGTGTTCTTTCCCACTGTTGAGTCCACAAGAAAAGTAACCTTAAGAAAAGTAGAGTTCAGCCATTAGCAAGCAGCAAGCATTTGTATCTCTATAGTTATAAATGCTTGAGATATTTTTAGGAGGTTCCAATGACCATAGATCGAACCTATCCAATTTTTACAGTGCGATGGTTGGCTGTTCACGGCCTAACTGTACCCACCATTTCCTTTTTGGGATCAATATCAGCAATGCAATTCATCCAATGATGTTATAAGCACTTCAATGACACTGGCATGCTAGCGTACTATTTTATCTGTCAACTCATTTTCCTGATGTTATTTTTATGTTACGTATATGTACTCATTTCATGGTGGTTTCCACTTCAGATTGGACGACCTGTGGTGTTTTCGTTGGCTGCTGAAGGAGAAACCGGTATAAGAAAAGTCCTCCAGATGCTGCGCGATGAATTTGAGCTAACTATGGCATTAAGTGGTTGTCATTCACTCAGAGAAATCACACGCGACCACATTGTAACCGAGTGGGATGTTCCACACCCTCGTCCAACACCCAGGTTATAAAAACCATGCCTATAATATGTGCAGAGCTCAACAGCATACCTTTCCTATTGAAAACTCATTTACGTTTCGATTAGTCCTACATATGTTTCGGAGATGTTGAGCTGTTGAATGTAACTGCCATGGATTTGTTTTACATAAGCTGTCTGCTGCTGTCTTCATTGTATATTCTTTCTATATAGTTTGCAGAATTTCTATAAAGACATGGCAATTTATTTACTGAAATAAAAAAGATGCTGCGATTTCAGAAGTGGAGATGCAGAGGCATGTCTCTCAAGTTTTGCTAAAAAAAATTCTGACTACTGTGGATATTTATTTATACTTATAGTTTGAAGTTTGCTATACGACCTCTTGGGGTCAGGCGCCATAAGGGATTTATCATTCATAAATACTCTAGTTTCGGTGTGAATAACTTGTCTTTGATTAAATCAGGAAGGTGATTAGTCGAAATGTGTGTAAACTAACATAGACATTTCTGACTATTGAAACAAAAAAAAAAGTTTGCTAATAAAAAATTCTAACTCTTAAGGGCCGTTTGGTAATTTTTACTATTTAAGTATTTAAGATTGATTTGGTTTAATAAGATTAATCAAAATTCATGCAATTGGGGTTCTCGGATAGTTTTGAATAGGAATGTGATATATTTTCATCCTATCCCCAATTTGGGAATGGTTGGATAGGTCAAAGATCAAAATTTTGTTTTGGTGTATTGTTTCACATAGGAAATAGAAACGTTTTGACGTGTTTTGAAAATATTTTGACTCATTTCAAAAACAATAAAAATAAATAAAAAATGTAAGTATTATTTTTTCAAAATATTGGTTGAAATATATCAAAATATCTTAAAATATTCTGAAATAATTGTGTAAATACATTGAAATATAACAAAACATTTCGAAACATTATGAAATATGTTGAAATATTAGAATTTCAATTTTATCATTTTATTACTGATTCGTTTCAGTCTCTTTAAAAATGAAAACGTTTTATATGTTTCGACCGTTTCGAAACAATATTGTAATCTTTGGGATATATGTAGAAAAAATATGTGGGTCTCGCAATATGACATCAAATCAGATGTACTTTTGACAATATTGTCTTTTATTCAATGAAGTATTTGATTTGATTAAGACCACTGAGTGAGGGGTTTAATGGGGTACCAGTCGGATTTTTCACTTAAAAGTTGGAGGTTTGAATCTTGAAATCCATATTAAAACTCGATAGTTGACCGCGTTATGCTAACCTATCTATATTCGTTTTCAAATTTAGGAACGAATGCAGTCAGGGATCTCATGATCCTACCGGTTAGGGCCTATCGGGTAGTCTATGAGCGCTCTCTTTTACCCCATCCCTTTTTTAAGAGATTTTTTTGTTTTTTTGATTTGATTAAGAGCACATTAGTAATTTTAATCTAACCCTAATCTACCCATTTGAATACCACCCTTAGGTGAGTTTCAACTTTAAATAGCCCCATGTACACGTGGTTCAATTCACTTTTTGATGTGGATTGGATTCCAAGAAAAAAAAACGAACTTTGTAAGTTGGTATCTTTTTTAGCTCTTATTTGAGAGAAATATTTCTATCAAAAATTTTTAGGATAAAAGCCATTTTTCTTTTCAAAAAATCTGAAGTACCCCCTCTAACAATCCCTTAAAACATGAAAGCTGATTATTACTCTAAAACATATTTTCACTCATATATATAGGTAACTAAATTTAAAATTTAAATAATTTTTAAATTTCTTAATTTGAAATCTTTCTCAAATTAACATTATTTCTCTCTAAAACTCCTAAATTTTAAGGTTTTCTTATATTAGAACTATTTCTCTCAAAATTCCTTAATTTTAGATTCTTTCTAAGATACGAATTATATATAGTTCTTATATTAGAACTATCTTGTCATATTTTTTACATATATATTGTCACATTTTTTTAAGTAACTTGTCACATTATTTTTTATATTGTTATACTAGTCATTGCTCGTGTTTGAAGGCACTATATTACTTATAAAATTTCAACACACAAAGATAGGATGTTTGAATAATTTCAACACATAAATATTAGATTGGTTTTGAACATTTTTTGTTGGTGCAATTGGTATCTTATTTTTTTTGTATCGATCAATTTTTTTTTTTAATTGCTGATTAACTTGGATTTTAAATTTTTTTTAATTTTCTGAGAACTATAAGTTTTTATACAGTAGTGATTTATTTTTGATACGAATAATAACTTAATGATTTTATTTATGGATTATAAAGACAATTTAAACTTCATTGATTGATAAGAAGTAAGAAGTAAATATTAACCATCGGTACTAAAATGCGTGATAAGAAGATTTACTTATAGTGTACCCTAGGTATGAATCAGTTTGTAATAAGAAAGATGAAAAATTATATATTAAGTATATAATGATTTTTAATGAAATATTATACCAAAGGTTTTGAAAAAATCTATATACTAAATAACTTATATGTCAAAAAATGGTGACATTGTCCATTTGGGTACTGATTTTTGTGTTATAGTGACGGTGTGTATGCAGTTATTAAGGTCAAATGTTAAATTGTCAAACTTTGAAAATGAAGTACTAAATTTAGAGATATTATGTATTTTATGTGTGTTTAATAGAAATATTTTTAATTTTATGTAAAATTTTATCGTAAAATTAGAAATTAAACAAAACTAACCTAAATCAAGGTACAAACAATATACTTTTAACATATAACATTTAACAACAATCAGTTAATGACAATACATCCACAACTAAACCACACAAACATTAAAAATTAAAAACAATAAACTATTGTCAAAACATACACCACTAAACCAAACAAAAAAAAATCATCAATGATAAACAATAATGGGTACCAGCGAAAGTACTTTTGAAGGTTAGATCACTATCAATATAATTTGGATGAAAGAGAGTGGATGGTCGGAGTGATTAAGTCCAATGGGTCTCCAGATTATGTCGTGTGTCGCTGAAAAAGGTCTGTCCATTGTTAGAGTCTGCACAAAGAGATGAGAGACTGAAAATGATGACAATGATCTCTAAGAAACTAAGAGAGGTAAAACGGTTAATGGGGGAGAGAGAAAGAGTTTGGGTTGTATGTTAGACAAAATGAGTAGCATGTAGGTGTAGTTAAATTGGGTGGGATTCAGGGGAGGAGTCATCCTTGGACTAGGGTGGGCACGTGCCCCCATCAAATTTTTTTTTTTTTGACATTAGATATATATTTTTTAAAATAAAATTTAGATATATTTAATTGTGCCCACCCTCAATATTTTTTACAATAAATATATATTTTTTAAAATAAAATTTAGACATATTTAATTGTGTCCACTTTATTATTGTATTATTGTGATATCGATTAAGATAAACGATTACTTAAATAATAATTAATTTTTAAATAATGTTATTGAAACTAATACATTATGATATTAAATCTAATAGTGAGTCTCTACATTTAATAATGTCTACTATACATCCAATAGTCACAAACCATTGGGTTCCTACCAATTAAAATTTGAATTTTTTTTTCTTTGGCCAAGATATAAAATTAAATTTCAAATTAGATGAAATTACTATTATTCTTAAATTTTTAGACACAGACATGTCCAAATATTTTTTAGACATATCGTGTTCATTTTTTTAAATTATAAGATTATTTTATTATTGTATAGAAACGAGCGTCATAATGTAATAAATTACAGGGTAATAAATGAAAAACTGTTATTACTATTTTGTATATAGAAAAAAAGTATTTATTGATATCATTGATTTGCAATTCTTTTAAATGATAAACAATAATCAGATTTAATTGTAAAATGATAATAATAATTAGTCTCATACGAAGTTTTAATTAATTTACTTTTATTTTTTGTTTGTTCATTCCATGCAAATCGTTTTTTAACCTTTTATGTTTAATGAATTTTTACGCAAAATTATAGTAAATATGAATTTATGAACTTCTATGGTCAATTGAAAAAAAAATGAAAAAAAGCTATTTAGATTTAATTTGATGACATAATTCAATGCACCCCTTTGATTGAAAGTAAACTTCATCTAACATTGAAATTTACAATTAAAATAACAGTTACATTGAATTAAATCATTGGTAACATTGATAAAAAAATAATTAAAATTTATTAATGTGCCCATCCTAAAGTATTTTTCTGCCTCCGCCCATGGTGAGATTTTATTTTTGTGCGGGATGTGTTGTGAGCCATTGGATTAAGTTTGATGAATTTAGATGAAATTTAGATCATTTAATTTAAAATGAATTTAATCTGAATTGTTATTGTACTTTTTTAAATTTAAGATAGAGACGTATGAGAGATAGGAGTGTAGAGTCTTACAATAAGAAACTTCTTCATGGGCGGGAAAAGAAATTCAGAACTAATTGTAGATTTTTAAATTAAAATTTTTGAGATGATATGAACCGTCTTTTATGTTGGGATTACGTTGTCCGTTGAATGTGTATATATTTTTTCTCAAAACGATTTGGACATCTCATTCTACTTTGAATTCAAACTTCATTCTACTTTATTATATAGATTATTTTTGAATAACTTGTCATATTGTTTAATTTGTTGTTATATTATTTTTGAGTACCTTGTTACAATTTTTTAATATATTGTCATATTATTTTTGAATAACTTATTACATTGTTTAATATGTTGTTACGTTGTTTTCGTGTACTTTGTCACTTTGATTTTTATGTTGTTATATTTATTTTTAAAAAGAATTTGATTCATAAAAAAAAGTAAAAAATAAAAAGGGAAGATGAAAAAGAGAAGATGATACCAACACACAATGTGATTTTACAGCTTTTTTGTTAGTTGGTGAGCACAATGTGGGATTGCAATCTTCCTTATGTGCAGTTATGTTTGTAACTTTGTATAACACACAGAGCAACTGGAGTGTCGCACTTAAAAAAGAGAGTGTGAATAACCTTCCCCTAATGGAAGCCCCTATATTCAATTCTATCAGAATCGGATCAGTTATTGAACCAGCAAGGGACCGAGTCAATAATTCACTAGTTCAACTATTGGGTCAACTGATCGGACCGATCATATAATAAAAAATTAAAAAGAAGCTATAAATATTATAAAACATAATAATTTAACTAAAAAATATAAAACATGTCCAAAACCCCTATACAATTGACCATTTACACACATTTACCAAATTCCAATATTTATATTCTACATAACCAAACATGGAACATAGACACCCACCCACTTTTAGGAAACATGCATCAAATTCAAAGAATTTAGATTGTACAATAAGTAAACTAACATGAAAGAAATTACC